GAGGAGTAGTCGAACACAGATCTACTGATCCTTCAACACAGAGCATCTTCAGAAGACAAGTTGATAAAGTTAATTTTTAAAATCTGTATTGTTCGATACAGTTCAATACGGTTCGATATGGGTACATGTATCGTTGCACCCCTACTAATCAGGGATCCCTTTAAGAAGGACACTTGAACACTGACACAAGATAAAACATCATCTATGGTCATATTTCAGCAACGGGCAATAATACACCATTCAGTGGACATAAATGGGTCAAAACCACTTTGACTAAAATGTAACAAAATAAGAAGATTCACTGATAAGAAGTTGAAACCTATAACAWTTTAAACTTTTAAATAAAACCTCTTTTCTGAGCAACAACTACYAGAATAACATCTAACAATCGGTGTTTATGGGCCACGGAAACATGTTGGAGATAAACACCACACTACAGTTGTTGTTTATTCAGAGATTTGTATTTGATATGCATTTTGCTGCCAGGTAATGGCCAAGCAGTTGCCCTCAGTATGTAATCCACCCTAAAAACTGAAACCACGAGTGATCAACAAGCAGCATGACCCACTGTAMGATCAGGTTTCTTCTTAGAGCTCGACTCGGCTGATCTCTCCTGTTTGATTTCTCAACCCACTTTTTCCGTTGTTGTCATGATTATGTTGTTGTTGTTGTTCTGGAGACACAAGTGTCTGGTAATGGTAACTAATGAGAGTTTTGCTTGACAGCAACACACTTGGTGTTGCCTGTGCACCTGTGTCAGCCTTTCTGTAGCAGCATGACTTGGAGAAAAACAAATGTGATCCTCACAGTGTGCAAAGCATGACTCAGTGAAAATGCTTTAAAGGGAGTGTTTGTGGTGTTTATATGGGAAAAAAAGAGAATGGAGAAGTATAGAGACATACTTTTAACCAAAGAACTGAGGCTGAACTACAATAAAACAGATTTTTGTGTAGTTGCTAGTAAATTAATGAGAGTAATGTTTATAATCTAGTTTCGGGGATTAATTTATATTRTTTTAATAAGCTGAAAATTATTAGTTATCCTTATGTTGTACAGCTTTTTGTGACAATATTTGAATTTGAAGCAAATGAGTGACAAAACCAATATCGTAGAAATAATGAGACTGAGGCTATCACCAGAAATACCAGTGAGTAAAAATACAGTTTGATGATTTTACAAGAAGTTTCCCACTTTAAACCGGAATCATTCAGCATCACTAAAAACTTATATAGAAAGCTTACGGAGCAACACGAGAGATAAACATAGATCATGTGTTTCTCAAAAACACGCTGCACAAGCTTTATATAAAMCTTTGAGACATCAAACCCACTCCATGTCAGGAAAACTGTGAAACTAGTAAAATAAGAACAAATAATGCTGACATGGCAACTCAGTCACATTGTTCGCTCGTAGCGTGTTGTAACAGATGCACGTCTATGATTTGTGTGTTTTCTAAATTATTTCAAATAATTGTTTTTAAAGTTAATTCTCTTTATTTTTTGATGCATTTTTAGCTGCTCTGATTGAACTGTGTACAACCTTAACTTTATGATAACAATAAATAAACCTCTTGAAAATCCCAGGAATAAWAAACCGTGATGAGGAGTCCTTATTATTGCTCATTAATTAATGTTCTGTTCGTTTTGGTTAGGGAGGGGGTTCAATAACAAACTGTCCTGTTTTTTTTAAATTGAAAACAGTAAAAGCCATTCTTGCTGTGACCCACAAGTTGAACAAGTAAATAACACTAAACTACACAATAAACAACAGTTAAAATGTACAGAAATACTTGCACATTTGTCAAACTCAAGGCTCGTGGGCCAAATCTGGCCCTCACTAACATTTCATCCAGCCCCAAATGTAACGCTTTAAACACAAAATAGTTTTATATTCTCTCTTTATGTCACTGTATTTAGTGCATTCAGTTAGCCAACTTTCAAGCTGAGAAAAATATGTTTGAATTTTTAAGTAATATTTTATTTTGGTAATATAAATAAAGTAAAGATAATAACAGAGAATCAACTTATTTATTTATTCATTTTTTCCTGTATTCTCTTCATTCTCTTCTGATTTTATAGTCACACACCGGTAATTGGGTTTTTGGTGAGGGATTTCTTTTTTAACTTGCTGTATTGTGGTCAAATTTATGTCTAAGATRTAATAAATCAAAAAGTTGGTAGCAAGTAAGGCATAAGAAATGAATGATAAAAAAATGTCTTTCTTAATTTATTATGCAGAAGGTTTTATATGTTCTCAGTTCTACATGACATGTAATTTGGAAATGGTATTTTGTATTTCTATAAAATCAATTATATGTTATCTATAATTACTGCTAGAGAATAATTGGCTTGGGCCATGTTTTAAATGTTGRCCCCCTTGTGTAACTGAGTTTGACCCCTCCTAGTTTATGAAATCTGCTTCTTCTGYTGTATGCGCGCTCCCGAGACAACGGGCACACATTCTTCAGGGGACACATTCCTCGACGCAACACCGCATTGGACCGCGCGTGTCTCCTCCCCTCCAGCGTCTGCATTTACCGCAGCCTGTCCTGCTGCTTCTGCAGACAAATGAAAAAGTAGCAGCGAGTGKGTGGTGGTCCACCTGTCCGGACACAGCTCGTCAAGTGTCAGCTTCTCGCCTTCATTTATTTAATTCAATAAAACAACTCTTTGTGGTGAACACCGACCTCTAATTTCAGGTCGTGAAGTGCTACGCAAAGAAAAAGTGTGAAATTAAACCAGAGGTTTTCACGTGTTTTTGAATAACTACGGTCCGGTTTTAGCGTCTCCGTATTTTTGCCAGCGGGTTTTTCGGCGGTCTCCAGCCCCCTCGCCCCGCTCCGGATCAGCGATGCCTCCCGGTGTTGTGGCCGCCCCACGCAGCTCCTCGGCCGGCTGCTTCTGCGCCTGCTGCGGGGTGAGGACGAGACCCCATTTCACCGAAAACTCCGTGCTCTCCCAGGGGGAAATTTATCAGCTGTAAGAAACATTCTGTACTCTCGTTTTGTTTTTAACTGAGCCATTAGTTGTTCAACTCATCATTTTCTCATTAATCTCACTTTCCAGTAAATAATCCCAGTGGGCTTGCATGACAAAGGCTTGTGGTTTTTCCCCATGACTAAAACATAAAAGGATATGGCAGCACAGAAGCAGGAGGATGTGGTTTCCTTCCTTTTATTTCAAAAGAAATCTGTTTGCCAGATGCTACACCTGCTCATGTGCAAACCCCTGCATCCACCTCTGTTTTTATCATTTATGCTGTGCTTGGTTTGCATCTTTAGGGGGCACAGGTGAGCAAAGGCACATCATGTTCTCCACATAGTTTTGAAAGATGTGCTTAATTTGTCAGCTTTCAGAAATGCTGGGGTTTGATGCTGTTATTTCTACAGCTCGTCTGCACATGTTCATTCACGAGAAGCAGAGTTTCATTCTGAACTGTGTGCAGACTCAGCTGAGACGTTCCTCTTTCACATGGCATGCAGATCCTCTTGGCTTGCACGCAGCATTTTGCAATCCCAAATGGATTCAAGTGCTGGCATTTCTTTGAAAAGAAAATGGCATGTGTTTTTTTTTTGTTGTCATGCTGTCAGTGTTTTGTCGTTCCCTTTGATCCAACTGTTGGCTTGAGGATGAGGTGAAGGTGTTTTTTTTCTTGACACAGAAATGAACTTAACTTGGAGACAGTTGCCAAATTATGTATTTGGAGAGATTTGATATATGAATTTCCTAAATGGGTACTTCAAAATATTTGAGTCCTTTTTTTCGCTTCTGCAGTTATGCTGTTTAAAGCCTGATTTTTTCTTTATCTGTGACTTTTCCAGACTTCCTGTCTCTGCTGCTTCTTGTTTATCATTACTGCCATAACCAATGGGCAGTGTGGATATTTATTAGTTCCCTGACACTTTCACTTTTGTGTCAGGTTGTTCCCAAAGATAAAAGATAATAGAATAACCACTTTTGGCCACGTTTTTAGAAAGTAATTAGATCTAAATTACAGGAACATACTAAGCATTTTAAGTCTGTTATATAATACTATTGTGGACAGGAAAGTTGCGCCAAGGAGCTTAACTTGAGGTGCCAAGTTCTAACTAGGTATTTGTTCAGGTCAGAGACAAAGAGTCCAACACCTGCCAGTATTCGACAAAGCTCCTACAAATGGAGAAAGATCATTCTCTTCTTGGTTTTTAATTTCTCCAAGTCCGGCATGTCTTCTTTATTTCAGCCTCTTTGTCTTTTTCTAAACATATCAAGTTCAGTAAAACAAATGTGTTACTGGAAGCAGCAGGTTTTTGTTGCGTGTTCAGCGGTCATGTGTTGAAAGTTAATAAATTTTCTCTTTATTGCTGTGCATGGTATTGTTTGTTCAAGATGTCATGTTTATTATCTAACATGACTTACAGCTATTTATTTTGAAACAAAGCCCACTTTAAGGCTGCTGTCAAGCTATCTTTTATTTGTTTGATATAGCTGGGGAAGGACAAATAATGTTTTATTGTCCATTTAGTAGGGCTGTGTATTGGCAAGAATTTGGCGATACGATACATATAATGACAGACGGGTCACGATACGATATATCCCGATATATTGTGATACTGTAAGCAAGGTGATATATTGCGAAATATTGCGATTATTTTTGGTCCAAAAGTTCTATTAAATAAAAACCTCTTACTGGAAAAAAAAAGAAAAACCAAAATTCATTGTCTCAGAAAATTATATTACATAGACATGTGCTAGCCTTCCGTAATGTGAAGGCTGACTAAAGTTGGAAAAAAGAGCGCACAAGACACTTAATTTGGTTTAAAATAGAAACATTCTGACAAATAAGTAACTGTTGGTAACCTTACCTCAGCTTAGAAAGCAGAGGGTGTCGGTCTTTTCTGCTCAGATTCAGCTATCGGAGCATGAAGCTAATGTTTACTCACAATGCTAATGCTACCCTTACTCTCTGGCGCTCAAGAGGTAGAGGGGCCAAATGGCTGACTCACTGCTGCCAACTAGTGGTCAGAGGCTGAACTACAACATAAAAATGAACGGCTGGCAGGAAAGTTGACATTTTAAACCTCAATAAAAAAATCGATACAGGGCTTTAGAATATCGATACAATATCGGAAAATGAAATATCGTGATTTTTTTATTTATTTATTTATTTATTTATTTATTTATTTATTTATTTGATTAGGGAAAAGTGTCAAGTATTAACAATACTATACACTACAACATTTATAGCCAGAGCTAATTTGCAAWGCCYRTCCCTAGAWGGSCTTTTAGCAACATKAAATAAAAGTRTRAAATACAGTTAACAAATAAAAACATCACAATATTAAAACTCACTAACAAACTCATAAAACCAACTTAAAAACACTATGAAAAACACTGTAATAAAATGAGAACTAACAAGAAGTTATTTTATTTGGCAAAATGCATTACTTATACTCCCAATGAAACAATTTTTCCACCCACATTACTATTAAAAAACAAAATAACTGATTTACAGACAGGGATGTCCCGATCAGATACTCAGTATCGTATCGGTGGTAGATATGGCCATTTTTTGAAAATCAGGTAGAATCGGATTTAGTCATGTGATCCAGTGTTTGCGACAGTTTTCAGCATCATCATGCTTTACAACCGCTGTTAAGAAGTCAAGACATGTCCACAGTGTGGGAACACTTTTAAATGGAAAACAATGATGCTGAAACTGCATCTTGTAAAATCTGCAAACTGGATGTTTTTCATGGGAACAGCAGGGCTTGCTTTAATACTACCAACCTTGTCACTTGGAAAGAAATAAAGCTATTGGATCGGTATTGGAAAGACTAATCATTAAAAACAATTGGATTGTATCGGGAGCCAAAAAATCTGGATCGGGACATCCCTGTTTACAGATTGTGTTTTTTGTCAACAGAGTAATCAGGTTAATTGTAAACAAATATCTGCCTGAGTCAGTTGAAGCTGCCCAGGTTTTTGGTAAACGCTCATCTGAATGTTTCTTCTTTTTGTTTGTTGCAGCATCAGTGAAAGTTTCCTGACAGTTAAAGGAGCTGCTCTCTTCTTACCTCGAGGAAATGGCTCCTCCCCTTCGTCTGCGTCTCACTTCTCCCAGCTGCGGAGTAAACATGCAGGTGAGGTCCAAACCCCTGCCTATGAGTTCTGTTTATCGATGGGGGGGAAGTGGCTCAGTTTCTCTGAATGTATTTGTCTTCTTTACAGGTGACATCCAGCAGCACCTGCAGACCATGTTCACTCTCCTCAGACCGGAGGACAACATCAAGCTGGTAGGTACCAAAGGTTCAAAAACACAAGTCTAGTGCCGTTTAAAAATCTGGTTTATTTTTTCCTGAATTCCATTTTGTTTGGTAAATTTGGCGTTTCTGTCCGTGTTTTCCAGGCGGTTCGTTTGGAAAGCGCCCACGCTCAGATTACCCGCTACATGGTGGTGGTCTCAACCATCGGCCGTCAGGACACGGAGGAGAGCGTGGTGCTGGGCATGGACTTCAGTCCAGTAGACGGGTGAGAGGGTGGCGCCACAAACCTGCATGTTCCTAACTTTTAAACAGGACATAAAGTTAATTTTATTATTTAATTCCTTTTTAGCTCGTGTTCCGTTGGGATGGTTTTGCCTTTGTGGAGCGACACCTTAATACACCTGGATGGAGATGGGTGAGAGCCACACTGCAGCAGCAGAGAGCACTCTAAACACAAGTTTGAAAACATTTCTTACAGTGTTTTTTATGTTCAGGGGATTCAGTGTGTCGACTGATAACCGAATTCACGTTTTCAAACCCGTTTCTGTGCAAGCCATGTGGTGAGTCCACTTTTGAAAAGCAGTTTTCTGCTGATCTCCAGTTTTTATTGTTAAACTTACACATCTCTCTGAACCGATCGACAGGTCAGCCTTACAGTCCCTCCATAAAGCTTGCGAAGTGGCTCGCTGTCAGAACTATTTCCCAGGCAGCTTGTTCCTCACCTGGGTCAGCTACTATCAGAGCCGGGTCTCGTCGGACCAGGCCCGCATCAACGAGTGGAACGCCATGCAGGATGTGCAGTCGCACCGCGCCGACTCACCCGTACTTTTCTCCGATGTGTAAATATCACTTTGTTTTCTCCTAAGAGCTCGACGGATTAATGAAATTGCGAAACATTTGTAGAATTTATGCACTTGTTTTATGTCCCAACGTTTCCACAGCCCCACGGAGAGAGAGAGGACGGAGCGGCAGATAAAAACCAGCTTGAGGGAAATCATGACGCAGAAGGATTTGGAGAATGTCACCTGCAAAGAGGTGAGCGTGTTTCAGATCCTTCRAACTGGATGCAACCGTCGCATGAAAAAGGAAAATGTTCGATGCAGTTATGCTTCATGTTTGGTTTAATTTGGAATCTCTCTCTTTCCTCGACTGGGCGTAGATTCGAACAGAGCTGGAGATGCACATGACGTGCAACCTGCGAGAGTTTAAGGAATTCATCGACAACGAGATGATTATCATTCTGGGCCAAATGGACAGTCCTACGGAGATCTTTGATCACGTCTTCTTGGTAATTCCACGGTTGTTCAGTACTTGTTGGGCTTTGTTTCGAAGAAGCTGAAAATCTGATACAGCCTCGTGTTATTTGAACGTGATGTGCCCAATTTAAAGGTGCTTTTAGTCTTGTTTGGTTTGGAGTGTGTACTTCATGCCCGGCATGTTTTGCCACTGGATTTAAAAATGATGAAAAGCTCAGTGGGCAAGTCTTGAGGATTGCTTTCCTTCCCCACAGGGGTCTGAGTGGAATGCCTCCAATTTAGAGGAGCTGCAGAAGAGCGGGTAAGGAAGGAGAAAAACAACAAAACCCCCACTGTACTGTCGCTCCGTGCAGGAGAGTCAGGACACAGAAACCGTCTGAAATTGGCTTTCTAAAGTCTTCTTTAAACCTTTGTGTCACTTTCAGAGTTCAGTACATCCTGAATGTAACAAGGGAGATTGATAACTTCTTCCCCAGTGTGTTTGAGTACCACAACATCCGTGTTTATGACGAGGAGGCCACTGACCTGCTTGCCTATTGGAACGACACTTATAAGTTCATATCCAGAGCAAAGTAAGTCTCTCATAACCAGGGTTATTATAGTTAACGAAAACTAACTAAATAACAAAAACTCTAATTGAAAAAACATTTTAGTTAACTAAAATAAATAATAACTATAATAAAATGAAAAAAAGATATGATAACTAACTAAAACTGTATAATATTTTTAAAAACTAACTGAAATTATAGGTAGAATATCCTTAGTTTTAGTGTTTGTCAATTTATTTTGAGCCGTGTGGATCTTTTTTTTTTCAAATTGAGTAGTTTCACATTAGCTGTGATAGCACCGAGTTGGAGACAACTATAGTCATTGTCCTAAAATAATCACTCAAGTCCTTAGTTGGTAAAATTAAAGGCACAGTGTGTAGGATTTGTTGTTTTCAGCGATATCTAGTGGTTGAGTGGTTGAATCATCCTCCCTGGTCCTCCCCCCACCCCCACCCCCCACTTCCAAACTCAAAGGAGTTGCTACGGTGTCTCTCAGGTGTCAAAAACCTTTGATAATTCCAACYGCGATGTCTACCAGCAGCTTCAGGGCTAGTGATGTTTCAAGTGGTAAGATTATGAGCTTTAATAAGTAAAATTATCCCAGCTACAATGACAGACAACAAATATTACATTTATAGGATTACAACTAAAACTGTTTTTGACGCCGCCACCGCAGTTTGTCCTTCATGAGCCTTCGTAGACAAGATGGCAGCCGCCTGTAGTGGCGACCCGCAACCATGGAGATATAAACAGCTTTTTATAAGGTAAAAATAATAAAACAAGATCTTTGTCTGCAATGATTAGACATGATTTTTTATTATTGTCATTAGTGATTATCTCAATTTCGGCTGAAAGAATTGACAAAACCTTACAAACTGTGCCTTTAAGTTAAACAATTATTTTAGGAAGGTGTTGCTATAATGGACTGCTTTAACTAGTAATTAACTAGTTAAGCTTCAACTCACAGGAACATAACAAGCTTGATGCATTTGGCAAATATGTTTATTCAAAATATAAAAAAAACTAATACTAGAACTAAAAAAATAAACTAAAACTTAGCATTAAAAATGAAATAATAACTAATAAAAAATAGCAAATCCACTGTAAAACTAATTATAACTGAATTAAAAGGAAAAATTCACAACGAAATGAAACTAAACTATAATGAAAAACCCAAAACTATTATAACCTTGTTCACAACTCTTAATATTCTCAAATCCTTTTAGCCTCAGGGTTGGTGTTGGGTTCTTGCTTCCCCCCTGACGTTTACACAGCTGGATTAGAACTAAAAAATGTAAATCACCACACTGCCTCACACTATGGGAGCAGCTTATTTTAAAGCCAAATGAGAAAGAAGAGCCGGGACGGCTGTGTGTCAGACTCACAGCTGATTCAACAAATCTGAAAGTTTAACTGGAAAACCTAACTATAGCTACACTTCTAAAAAAAATCTCTTTATTAGTTTGGTGCTCTGATATAATTGTTCACAACAGATGGTTTCTTTTTAAGGTTTTTCTGTTGAAACTTCTTCTAATGACTTGCTTTGCTGAGCAACTGACAATGATAGGATGAAAATAAATGCTTTTTTTTGTGTGTTTGCACCAGAAAATCTGGGTCCAAGTGCCTGGTGCACTGTAAGATGGGCATAAGTCGCTCTGCAGCCACAGTCATAGCCTACGCCATGAAGGAGTACGGCTGGGATCTGAAGAAAGCCTTGGAATACGTCAAGCAGCGTCGAACTGTGACCAAACCCAACCCTTCTTTCATGAGGCAGCTGGAGGAGTATCAGGGTATACTCCTGGCCAGGTACACGCAAATACTCAACGATGCCAGTACATTAAAGTGCTGAATTCTTAGAGGGGAAAGGTCGAAAGAATAAAATAAAACTGGCTTAGTTCAGGTTTATTCATGTCCCAAAGGGCAATTACAGCAAGTAAAAAAGAAAAAATAGACATAAAAACTAAGAGACATGTACCAAAACATCAAATATCAGTTCATACATTAGTACTACGAGCAGTGTATGTCATAATAAAGGTACTAAAAGTCATGCTGTGAGCCTCAGTTTAGTCTTAATACATGTTTGAATAAAGCTGCATGGAACCGGTTTATTTTATTCAAATGTTTCTCTCTCTGCTGCAGCAAGCAAAGGCACAACAAACTGTGGCGTTCTCACTCAGACAGTGATTTGTCTGAGCATCACGAGCCGCTGTCTAAATCTTACGCTCAGCCCCACAGCCTGGGCCGTTCGGACCCCCATAACCAGGCCAGCATGACACCGGGCAGCTCSGTGAAAGATCTGCTGGAATCACTGGGAACTGCAGCAGTTATTGGAACAGACACCCAGGCTGGGGTCCGGTCCGGTCGGCCTGGCTCTTCTTCCTGTGGCGGGGCCTCGGATCCATCAGGTGCTGCTGAAAACGGGAGCCTCGACGCCCCCAGCAGGCAGCCGGACTCCCCCAGTTCTGTGTCTTCATGTCCCCCGCTCTCTAACGGTCTGTGTGACTCAGAGGAGCCGCCCTCGTGGCCTCCTCTGCACCAGCCCAGAGCTGCCACCCTGGTGCCTGAGCCTCAGAGGACCGATATCAACGTTGCACAAAGCGTTTTGGTGGGCCAGCCTCACCCGCCTCCATCCGTTCACCAGCTTCCCCTCTCCCCAGCTCCGGCGTGCGCCGACGAAGCCGTAGAAGCGCCGTCCTCTGTGATAAAACCTGAGCCAGCGGAAGCGCCGAGCACGCAGCAGTCTGCGGTGTTCGTCGGGAACGCCGACAGCGACTCGTCCCCGGCAGGCAACGCGGCCCCCCCTCCATCCTCGGACGACCCCGTCGGCCAGCCCAGCGCCGCTCCACCWGACAACGTGCTGCTGTTCGGGCACAGCGCCGATCACATCAACTTCTTCAGTGCCCGGGAGAAGTTCAAAGGAATGAGTGACGACGGGAAACCTCCCTCTGCTGCAGTGCAGCAGGCGTTACCGCCCAAGAGCTCCACTAAAGAGCACCTGCCGCTGACTCAMCAGGGCCCAACAAGTGAGGGGAATGAGGAGGAAAAAAGTAAGGTAACTTGTTTTTATCTTATAAACAAAATAACTGCTTCAGCTTTAGAAGAAGAAAGCTTCTGCTCTGGTGTCAGTTGGGTTGCATGTGCTGATTTTTTTTCTAGGCTGCTCTGGTGTAAGAGTGAGTTTTTATCTGCAGTAGTTTATTATTCTTTGAATTAAAGTGCACCATCTAGTGGCTTGAAGATGCAATACTGCATGTATCAAATATCTGCTCATTTGACTTACTTTTCCTTACCTTTTTTTCCTCTTTTTTTTTTTTTAATTTTTTAGGAAATGCATTTTCCTGTGCAGGTCACAGGAGTGAAGTCCACTGAGACTCTCAGCCAGCCAGAACCTCAAAGCTCCCATGACCAAGAAGTGACAAACCCGGAGCAGGAAGCTGAGGATCAAGAAGTTTGCTCATCGAAGGAGCATAAAGCCAAGGAGGATGAGGAGGGAGCGCCCGCCGGCCTCTACAGCGACTGGACCAGAGGCTCGGTGCGGCGCGTCACGCAGCAGCTCGAGCAGAGAATGAAACAAGAGCACGAGACGCCGCCACCCTCCTCCGCTCTGCCGGCCCTCTCCGGGTGCGCCTCCGGTTCTCAGCGCCGTCCAAACAGCATCCATTCCACGTCCGTCTCTCTGCCACACGAGACGCCGGCGGTCCGGCCGGTGTCGGCAGCTGGTGCTGAGGGTACTAAGTTTAGAGAAGCTGTAAGAGAAAATGCTCACGTGAATGATAAAAGCACAAAAGGACACAAACCTGCTGATACCAGATTACTCTCTACCTCTTCTGCGTTCCAACCCTCTCCGTCTCCGTTTGCCTCGGTGAACTTCCTGTGTTTGGAGGGCGTGACTGAGTTAGAGTCCGCAGTGGACTGGGACGGCTTCACGGAGGGACCCCATGCCGACGTGGTCATGCGGGACACGTGGGAGACTCTGTGTGAGCTGGGGACCTTCTTGGACCAGGTGGGTGGAAGCTGCGCGCCGCGGTGCGCCGGAAGCGCTCCGAAGCGAGGCGGCAGCTTCCAGAAGAARGCGAGGGAGGTTGAGGCCAGGATTCGCCAGGCGGGCTTGACCCCGCCCTCTCTGATGAAGCGCTCGGCCTCGCTGGCCAAGCTGGGCTGCCTGGAGCTTCTCGCCAACGACCTGAGCGAACGGGAGCTCAGCTGCTCAGCGCCGCCTCCGGTCCACACAGTCAGGGATGAGTCCAAGAAGCAGTGGGTCCACCGCTTCGCTCCCTCAGACAGCCAGCAGCCCGAAACCCCGCAGACGACAGCAGATAGACTTTCTAAAGCTGCAGAAAGCTCCGCACCTTCTGATCCAAACCCACAGAGAGGAAAGCTCCTAAACATGGGTCAGAACTCTCTGCATTCATTTGGACCGACACTTCTGACCACAAGGCAGCAATATGGCAGGACTCACCCTCTGAGGCAGCTAAAGAAAAGAACTGTTAGTACTCTGTACCACACCATGTAACCCTCGCCTCATGGGTCTGTGTGTGAGGGAGAAAATCAAGGGCAGATGTTGGATTTGTTCAGCAAAACAAACCAATGCCTTTTGCCTTAAAGGATTCCTTTAGTAGTTTTTTTTTGTACATTTTCTCCCCTTACAGGTCCTGTAAGACCCTTTGTGAAATCTATGAAGTCAGGATGAAAGGAGTGGCAAAAGGCTGTGAAGGTTCCAATAAACTGAAAATAACACAAGAACTGATAGAAATAAAAYAAAAACATAACTGACACACTTGTTTTGAATGTGGACACACCTGAGCCTGTACATACTCCGTGTACATCACTGCTGGTTTCCTTTGTGTCATTCTCAGATTTACTTGATGGCAGTTTGGTGCGATGTGTAGCCTGTTTCTTTTCTTTCCATATGTCTCAGTTTGTATTTGCTGGTTATGCTGCTGCTGGCAAATCACCGGACACTTGTCAAACTTTAGTTCAGTTCATCTAAATTTGATAGAAATAATACTCATAAGATCTCTGTTTGATCTTACAAACTTTACAGATGGGTGTTTCTCTGCAAAAGGAGGAACAGGAAATGATTGTTGGAGTTTTGCAACAAAATAAATGTTTTGCTGCTCAACCAAATCTGATCCTCACAAACATCAGGCGCTGGTTTCCTCCTGTGATGTCCTCACAGTTCTGATGCCACTCATTTTTATGTTTTACTGTAAGAACATATTTGGGGGCTGGGAGTTGAGGACAGTGTACATGAGTTTCCTGCTGGTTTTTTTTTTTTTTTTTTTGGGATGTAAAGATCTTGTGAGTGCTGACATTTTAGAAACTGCACTTTTTTTACGTTTTTGTTTCGATGAATGAGTTAGCATCACTTCTGCGGGAGCGTACATCTTTTTGATTTGCGWACGGATCTGTTTTTGTACAGGTTCAAGGAGTGTGTGCCTCTGACTGGCAAGTGAATCTTCTCTGCAATCAGAAATGTCTGGACAGGGACGTCTGTCATCCGTGCACTTTACTCCCTCTTGTTTTCAGTTTTAATGTGGCTTTCTGGATGTGGGTTTGCTACTTTTCGGGGAGCATGCTTAGGATGTAGTAGGTGTTGGTATGTGTGCGTGTGTATGTGTGTAGTCGAAAACATTTTTTGTGGGGTTTATTTTAATTTGTCATTGTAAATATTCTTTTATATCATGTGCATCAACTGTGACCATTAAATAATGGAGTTTACTAAGAGCTGGGTTCACTGTGAGTCTGTTGACGTTTATCCAAATCTGCCATTTTCTTCACACATTGCTGTGACTGGATCTCACTATTTATTATTATTATTATTATTATTATTATTGTTATTGTTATTATTAAATAGGCAAGCTTACTTAAAGAACATTATTTTATCTGCCATTGTTCCAAATTTTATCATTATTTTAAAAATCTAATTTTCTTTTTCTTGTCAGAATTGCCCATGGTAAAAAAAAAGATTTAGCGTTTGTGTTGACGCTTGTCTTCATCACTTGACACATTTTGCAAGCTGTCAAGGCTATGTCATGGCAATATCTTGAATAAGTTAAGAGCAAAAATAGAAAAAGGAAACGAGGCAGAATAGTCACAAAAGCCCTGTTGGTTCAGTGCTGAATAATAAACGATGAACATGATTTCATGATCAAAAACATCCATAACTTTAATAATTGTGATAATCACATGATTTCAGTGTATTTAAAAAATATTTTCATATTTTTCTTTTTTTAATTCACTGTCAGATTTGATATTTGTGGTAGATAAGTTTTATCCTCATCCTTACTGAGACAGGAGGTTAAAAAAAAGCAGGAAATGATCTCCCAAAATATTATAT